TTTTATAAGTGTTGATAGAGCATCAAATGTTTTGAGTTTTTATTGTGTTCACAAACACAGATAAATCTCACATCTGCATGTTGAAAATATCTGTGATATCAGGAGAAGTCTCCATGAGAGGAGTGAAGTATGAATCAGCAGTGAAGAGTATGCTGTGGCATGGTGAGCTTCAGAGAGGCCTTCACTTGATATTCCACAGTCAGCCTGCTGAAACTCCAGTCTCAGTACCAGTGTAATAGGCGCAACGGAGATATCTATATTAGGAAATAGATACGTGGCGATAGATACGTGGCGATAGATACGTGGCGATGGCAATATTATCTATATAATGCTCGCTGATATCCGTGGATTTTAGGAGATCAGCGATTAGCTTTGAACAATAGAGATTGCTACCTTTCTAATATCCTTTGTGCGTACTTCACACTACTCTTGTAATTACTCTTGTAGCCCATCTCTTACAACCAGTCAGAGAGCTTGCCACAGACTTCACTTCACCACTTTTATCTTGTCTCTTGACTGAGCTGCTTGGCCATTATGCAGACCTCATTGACTGTGGATGTGATCTCAAGTTCATAGACTGAGGCTGCAGTGGATGAGACTGCTTGCTTAATCAAGCAGTCTGCTTCCTTATTGTCCTCTATCTTTATATGCTCAGAAGCTCATTTCAAGCCAATATTGTGGTGTTTGAGAAGCTCATAACAGTGGTTGTAGACTCAATTTGAGAAGGCTGTTGCACTGCTTTATATGCTTCAGATGACTGAAATATTGTTGAGACAGAGTCAAATCTGAGAGTTGCTGCTGTCCTCTGTGATACAAAATAGAAGCTTCACAGCACACTTTAATACTCAGCAGACATCAACTGCCTCAGCGTTGAAGATATGTAACATAGAGCTCAGTGCAGCTGAGAAGCTGATCAGTTGTTTATTTCTCTGATAGACTATAAAGTCATAGCCTATCTGCCTGCTGTTGTCAAGATTCCATTCTGATTCATCTGAGAAAACATATAAATTTGTTGAGGATTGACTTCTCCACCATTTCTTGAATATCTGAGCAGCATTTTTTTTCGTCTACACCCTTTGTGGGGTTTATCCCGCATCCCTCTGAGTAGTGTGGAATGGCAAGTGTGGGTTTATTGACTGCAGATAGCAGCACCTTCAACTGCTGGATCTTGATCTTTAAGCACTGTCAGATTCCAGCCTCTCTTCCTCATAATTTGTGAAGTTAGTGAGTGCTTCTCATTCACCACCTGAAGCCTTGTCATGAATTGCATTTTGACCTCCTCCAGAGCTACCATTGCTGATGGGAGCTCAGCATCCCGGTATAGAGTAGTGATGGGCGTTGTATGGAAAACTGGGAGGAGCCCTTATGGCTGCCATAGTAAGCACCTTCTCAACTGTCCCCACATGCCA